AAATAAAAAAAAAGAGTAAGCAATCAAAATTTTTTATTTTTTACTTACCTATCTTTCCTCTCTTTTAGCGTAGCTCGCAATCCAAAAATTTTCCCTTTATCGTATTTGGATACTACTTTTGATATGCTCCAAATACAATTTATATTAGGAAAACCGGGTTCTAGTATTAATAGGACCCAGGGTACCTCCCGCTCTCGGATTACAACTATTGATTGGAATCCAAGAGCAGAAGTACAGCTTTAGTGGCACTATCCCCTTCGGTATTATTAATTTTCGAATAGTGATCCCGCTAGTTTATACGAGAAATCGCAGACTAGCAACAACTGAACCCTGAGACTGCGCCAAGCCTAAGGTGCACCTGAGATGTGTCGTTGCCACGACGTCACAGTAGTGATTATGGCTCCAATCTTATATTAGTATGAGTAATACATTTAACATCGTGTACATTTTGCTGCCACTATGAAAACATCCGTGAATATTCTTCTAATTTAACGGGTTTAATATTTTGATAATTAATTTTCTTTGTTCACATACGTTTCAATTTAAAATATACAAAAGATTAATATGTAGTCTCTATTTGATTTTTATTCATTCTCTTTCTCTTTGTACCAAATTTTAACACAACGATATTGATTGTAGTATCGGAGATGGTTATAAAATTAACAATTTGTAGAAATAATTTCAAAACATAACGTATTATGTTCTTAAACCAATTTACTAACATATTTTCATTCTTGCAGTTTATTATCCATGTTAATTATTCATAAATTGAATTTATCGCTAAAATAGGAATCTTACACTCTTTGATATATAATAATAATAATATTTCAAAGTATAGGAAAATTCAAAATTTCGCGTTCTATTTTTGCATCAACAAATCACAACGCTGGATGTCAGCGACTCATCTTTTTTTAAAGATAAGATAGGAATAAAATATGTAAAAAGTTGTGAAAGGGGATTTCGGGGGGCGTAGGCCTCACCAGCTAAAATCGCCAACACCAATTTCGTTGGACGTGATTTTCCTAATTTTGGTAGCAAGGTGTCAGATCACCGCCCTTACCTACAGTAATCGTTGGAAAATCGAGTCAACGGCGAATTCGTCGGTAGAATTGCCCACCGTGCGACTGCGCAGAGCGGGCGATGAAATTTCAAAATTCCAAAACTGTTCGAAACTTGAAAAATTCACTTAAAGCTCCGACGATGTTTGTCCTGATATATTCGTTCAAATCAATCCTTTATCCAATACCCTGCTTCCAGCAGAATCACAGAGGATATCCGGCCGCTTAGGTCTCACTCCTTTGCTTCAGGTCGTGTTTCGTCGAATCGTACTTTTCGTTACCGTAAAGAGAAAATTAATTCAAATTTCACTTATAAAATTCCGTCCGCGGCTGAAAATAATTTGCAGAGGAAATTTGGAACTTAGGTGGAATTACCGGAACGCAATATCAAGTTAACTTTATTTATTCGTAAAGCCATACACCACGCACTGAAATGGCGGAAGGTCAACGCGCTTCGGTCAGAACTCGCAATCGCGACCGCGACGGATCCACGCGCCTCGGCGAATTACGGTCTACACGTATCCTATCGCCCTAACTATTCGCGAAGGTCAGTCACACTTCAACTACTTACTTGGGAATAATGCGGCGATAAATCCTTCACAAAAGAAATATGCTCTATTCGCTATCTACGCTCGGAACTGTCCTTGGCGAGATCCAGTGGCAAAATGGAAGAGAAACGGTTCTCCACGGTCAAAGATCTCTCATTCTCTCCTCTTTCCGAGAAGAAACACTATTATTGGCCGATATGTAAATTCGGATATCGGTAGCGCCCTCCGAGTGTGTCGTTATTGGTCAATATATAAATTAAGAAGGTAACAGCGCCCCTCGTCTTATCTGTTACGCATCAATTTTTACCCTCTCTCACCCCCCACTAGGTCGGTCAGCATTTAATCTAAGAGAGAGATTCATCCCTACTCTTGTCGGAATTTTGATGAGGACGGAAATCAAATATCCTAATGATTTGCCTATTGGTCGTGACGTCATCAACAAATTTCGTCAGAGTTTCAAATTTCATCGGCTAGCTATTAATTTCAATAAATGCGCGGCTTATCGCTTTCAAGTATATATAAGAGCGTGCGAAATTACATACATTATTTAATTCATACGATACGGTTCAATTATAATTAATGCATTTAATTTAAGTCAGTTCTAAATTTAAAACAAGTTTTAAATCGCCTTACATTTATTTACAATTAATTCGCATACGCGTACAAATAAATCGTAATTTTGAGTCAACTATAGGCGCGCCTTTAGTAATCTATCTATCTCGCTCTCTCTTCCCCTCAATTAGTTTATCTCGCTCGCACTCCCGCTTAGTCTACCGCGCCGCCGTTCTGTCTAGCTTAGCGCTCCAAAATGGCCGCCTACTCTTTAGCGCGTGCACCTCGTGTCTCGGTGCCGGTAATCGTAGCGCCTCCTGGAGCGCTCCGTTTTTCGGTCGTGTGCGGTTTCGGAGTGTTGTATGTGAGTGTCGGCAGTGGTTCATCTCAAGTGTGTGTGTGGCGTTCAGGGTGTCGTCGATGGTGCGCAGCAGCCTGACTCAACTGATTGCCGGCTGCCGCTTCATCGGCGATTTTCTGTTCGCCCCAGGAGTGTCAGCGTGCTCCGGGTGTCAGTGTCAGTGTCTGGGAGTGTAACGGGTCGGTACGTGTCGTTACGTGCATCTCCGCTGCACTTTTCAGTCAAGTTTTCTCGTTTTTCTTGCCCGCCGACAACACGTGGTCAGGAGTGTGTGCATGTGCTCTCTCTCTCGTGCGCTCTTTTTTTTTTTTTTTTCATCCGTCGGATCGCGACAGCTCGTCTGTTTTCCTTGTTTACTCGGTTGTGGTTGACATGTAAGGGAAAATATGATTTTCGCATTAGGCGCGTTTTAATTAAGTATTTTCAGCTGGCTACGGGGCGGCAAGGGACAGGGATGGCTTTTTCTGAGGTGTTGCAAATAGCGCAACACTCTCTGAAAAGGCCTTGTAATGCACCGCATTACAAAGTATAAAAATAAAACATAAAAATAAATATAAGGCAAGGGTAAGGATAGGATAGAACCATCAGCTGCGCCTAACAATTTAATTTTGTTTCTTTTTTAACGTATTGGTTCATGGTATCAAGCTTTCCATAGGATTTCTGCATATCAACAGATATATTATTTTAATTTAACTGTTTTTTTTCATTGTTCATCTGAAACCATTTGGAGAGTTTGTTTACATTTATAAATTAAATTTCAAAATTTATTTAAAATAAATTAACGACGCCGACTTCACCGAAATAAATTCGTAGAATTTCATATACAATATCAATTTACCATTTTTCTCAATATTGATCATATTTATCCGAAGCTAAACTTTATAATAAAGATATATTCAATTAATTTATATGTCCAATAAATAAATGCAATTGAAGTGCATTAAGATTACTTTATCGTATTTTTTTAAGATTAGGCCATTGAGAGAATGTGGAAGTTATTTACAGTTTAATGCCTACAAATTATTATACTTATTTGTATTGATAGATGTAAAGTACTTCTATTTATTATTATGACCGATTTACTCATAATTGTGACACACGTGACGAAATTTAGTCAATCAGGTTATAAATAAAATTACTTCACTCAGCCTCACTTTTTCATATAGGAAAATAAAAATATATAGGTTTAGATAAACTTTACGCGTTTTTACCTTCTTTTTTATTTCTTATTGTTATATCAATATTAACATATTTAACAAATTACTTTTTTCAAAGGTAGATTTTTCAATTTTTTTTTAAAACCCATATCACAGCGGAAAATGTGTATTAGTGATGAAACACGTTTTCAAATTTATGATTTATTATATCAAAAACTGTAATAAATATAATCTTATACTGATTTTTTCTCAACAGGTTAATTTATTATTAAACTTTTATTCTACTTTTTGCATAAAGATTGCAACATTACAACTTTTATTTTACACATTCAAAAACCAAATTTTCGATTATTGATAGAAAATATTTAGAGCAATTTCAACCTATATTATTTGTATGAAATGATTTCTTCGTTGTTAGTTTCATATTATGAGTGTATAAACAATATTACAGTCTACTTTTTTATTCTTTATCTTCAAAATTATCCGTATGATAAATTATGATGATTTGAATTTTTATTAGTAAAATCTCAACTCAAAACCACACCTATATGCTTATTTTTCGCCACATAAGTATATCACGCAATTATATCTCAGCCATCAGATCACTATATCCTTCAACATGGCATCCATCACTTTTTTATATGGAATAAAACTCATAAACAATGAACTACACTATAATTATAAATGATGAATGAAAGATTATATTTTTTATATTTTATTTTTTTGCTAAAAACAAATTAAATTAAATCTGAAATAAAAAAACTAAAATCAATTTGAATTCTCGCGGTTTTTTTCATTTGGGCCAATCAGGTCACGAATAAAATGCTTCAATATGGCTTCCATCACTTTTTTTATAAGGGGAAAATTTTTCTAAAACTGTGGAAAATTTTAAGTTATCCTTTTGTCCGAGTTAAAGTGGAATATTTTGTATATTTATACAGTTTTTCGTCCAGTTTCCGAGGTTTCTTTGATTTCCTAATGTTTTATATATATTAAATCTTCTCAAAGATGTAATAATTTTCATAATTAATAAAAACGTGCATTTTTATATTTATGTGCCTCCAAATAAGAATTTTTAACTAAATTGAACTATTCAATCTCTTGAAAGTATAATATTAAGAAATTTTATATTTTTTTACATGAATTTGATTGTTATACAATAAATACGCCCTTTTTAGAACTAATATATGGATTTTATTTAAGATAGAAAATGAATCAAACCAACTCTTCAAACTTCATATTTTCAGAAATGGAAAGACAATAATAATTATAATTAATATTAAAAATATTAAATTCATCTAAAATAAATATTTCCTTTTTTTAGGAGCACAAGAATATGGAGAAGCAGCAGCATATATCCAAGCACAATTTGAAGCCAAAAATAAGTCGACAACAAAAGAAATTTACTGCCATATGACATGTGCCACCGATACTAATAATATTCAGTTTGTATTCGATGCTGTAACTGATGTAATTATTGCGAACAATCTGCGTGGATGTGGTCTTTATTAGGTTATCATAAACTACAATCGATAATTTGTGAAAATCAGTATTAAAATCAGTTTCAAATTACACGTCTGTCCGATACATGAGCGTCATTATAAAATTGATAACATAAATAATGTTCTATCGGTAAATAGAAATGATATAAATTAAAATTGCATTGATCTTATGAAAGACTATGTATTCTTATATTGAAGGGATAGAATTCTTCTGAATAAACTAAGATATAATTAACTAAAATTAATATGAAAAGATACATTCACATTTTTTCCAGAACTAGTGATGAAAAGAAATATAAAAAGCCAGTGCTTATAACTTATAACATAATTTTGCAAATTATTAATTTATTTGCATCTTTTGCCAAAAATGTCTGTTTTCTGTAAAACAAATGCACGGACAGTTTTATATTTTTAGTGTACTAAAAAATACGAGCATGGTCATAATAATAATTATTTATTATTATCGAAATTCATCAAATTTTGATTACATAGGAAAATTTGCAGAAGTATACTTATGTATACCTGATCGTAAAATGGTAGTGTCAAACACATAAAACCAAAACTAAAGTAGAAACAAAAAATGAATGAAAATACAGTACGTAAATTCTTGCATAATCACAATTGATTTCAGCTATCTATCTTTGCGTAACACACCCATCTTCAATAATGTAGTTATATTGTCATGTATTCATGTTTTAATTAAGTTTCTCCAGCTTTATTCTTTATGTTTAAATTTTTTATAGTAATGCTAAAATTTTGAAATATTTTTCAAAACCACATTTCTGTGATTTATAAGAGTGTCACATAATTGCGAACCTTATTTCTAGCGATTCCTTTTTGGTTTGCACTTTTACGTGCCTAAATGAAGCGACTTTATTTGAATTGAGTGACTTCTTCTGTAACGAAGCAGTGCCTAAATTGTCACTGTCGCCAGCAATTCTTTTAAAAAGAGGGGAGAGTAAGAGAGCCACTTTCGCTCTTACAATCGGGGAAAAAGAGAGGACAGGTCGAATGAATAAAATTGATTGCAACTTCGAAAAACAAAACTTATCTACTAGGGGGGTCAATAAGTCTTTAGAAAATCCAAGAGATGGCGCTCGCCACGCTTAAATTATGATGCTTTTGGCAAGCAATACTACTAATTAGATATCGTACAAACTTTCATCTGTTTCTTTAAGTCGTTTTTTTGTGAGCGTTGGTTGAACAAAAAGTTATTGGTTTATTTGAAAAATGGAAAAAACAGAATTTCGAACGGTGATAAAACATTTTCATTTGAAAGGTCTTACATCAAAAGAAATCACAGTTGAGTTAAACGCCGTTCATGGCAAGTCTGCCCCTGTGTTTAAGACCGTTTGTAACTAGATTAATGAATTTAAATGCGGCCGTACAACAACAAAAGATAAACCTCGTTCAGGACATCCCCTAGAAGTGAGTGTTTTTAGGAATCATATTTTTCTAATGGCTTAAAAAAACTTGAAGGACGTTTAATAAAATCTATCGACCTTCAAGGAGATTATGTTGAATAATTAAAAAAAATTGCTTACGCAAAAATTTTTTTTCCTTCTTTTTGTAAAGACTTATTGACCCCCCCTCGACTATTCACTAGTTCAGTTACAATTAACTTAAAATTATCGCGCGCATTAACATATGAATGAGTAAACCTTTGCCGCGGGAAAGCGGATTGATCGACGACAGAATTAACAATACGTTTCCTTACGCAAAGAAAAGAAAACCCGATACTTGATTACCGCAGTACGATAGATATAGCCGGCAAGTGATTGCCTGGTTATTTTTCTGTTTATCACGCATCACCACGAGAGACAGACACAACGTGTAATAGCGTCGGCCGTCTTTGGCCGTCAATCTTTTCCCGTTATCACCTAATTATTTAAGGAGGAGGTAAGGGAGGTGGTGTATCGCTCCCAGGAAGGTAGAAGAGGAAAGGCGATCGCAATAACTACTCTCACCTTTTACCAAAGAAACATATTTATTATAAAATCACTACCTTGAGCGATGACAATTAAAATACCTTATCGAACGTTCATCTAATACACAATAACTACTTATCAACTAAATGACATGGCCGGCACGTGCCATCTCATCACCGACTCCATACACAATAAAGAAAACTTAACCACTAGTTCAGCCGTGCCGGCCCGCGGGAGCCTGGTATAGCGCAAAAGTCGCGAATAGCCAAAAAGAGTTAAACCGATCAAGAAAGAGAAACGAGAGGAGAGAGGATGATCTGTATAATTGGTGAAGTTCGCTGGGCTGGCACGTTGACCTTCTTTTCTGCCGGCTGGTGACTTCCTGAGATATGGCGTGACTGATGGACAAAGGCCGCTCTCGAAAATACTGTGGCGGTGCGTCAAGCTGATATGCTTTCGCTCGCGGGGTCACTTTCTTAATACTCTCGAGAAAACGACGCAATAGTGCGTGAGAGATTGCTTCTCACGCCCTTCCCGCTCACTTGCCTAATCGGCGGCATGCGACATCGCCAAGCGTGACCAGTGTCGCGCGCCTAGTCGCATTATATCTGCACTCTTTCTCTCTCTTTTTCTCTCTCTCTCTCTTTCTTTTGGTGACTGACAAGAGCGCAAGTTGGCGCGCGCTCCTGCCTGTTAGTACTGCTGCGTCTCTCTCTTTCTTTCTTTTGGAAGAGAGAAGCCGATGCTGAAACAAAAGGCTGGCATCAGGCATGAAAAACATACGGGCGCCAGATGCCTGCCATGAGCCCATGCCAATGTCGGAGAGAGAGAAGGGATGCACGGTTTAGGCCATGGCCAGCCTACATTGTTACAAACAAAAGACAACACTAGAACTTTGCTTAGGCGACGAAGATGGCTGCAGGGAGTTGGTCCGGCTGCTGATTTCTGGCTTCTTAGTGGTTGCTGGCAGCTTCTTTGAAAGCTGTGTTGCTTGCGGTGCTGAGATTCGCTGACAAACGGCGAAGGAGATGATAAAAGCCACATACTCGAAATCGAGTTCAGAAACAACGGCCGGTTAGGTTATCTAAGCAGGCCGTATCAAGTGGAAAACGAAGAATGTCTGGCTGTACAAGTATTGTTGTGCGGCCAGCGTTTGCACTTTTTTCAAGCTCTTCCTACCAAGCCCACTGATTAGCCGGCGTGCGACAACAGAACACTAATGGTCGCGCTTCGCACGCCTGCCTAAGCCTGTATAGTACGTGTATACGCACGCACTTTATTTCTTACACTTACTGTCTCTCTCTAAGTCTCTCTTTCTCTCTCTCTAACACCTAGGCGCTGCACTTTCGCTCGTTCGGGCTCTTTCGGCCTCGCTCGGCAGTCTTCAACGGCTGAAAAATATAAAGGCCAGTGGTTAGGCGCCATAAAAGTAAGCGCCATCAACCGACGCCCGAGCCAATTGCAAGGTTCCGCTGAGCGAAACTGTGTAGTTGCGACACCCGAAACTGCCTGAACCTCAGCATCCTGAGAAATACGTTCTGACTCACCAGTTTCAGCCATCATCACCCGGTGTTGATATACCTCTTGAACCTTTAAAAGAAGTTTCGTTATTACACCTGTCCTATTTCGCAGACCGATTTATCTACCTTACGCAGCGGTATGTAATGCTTGATCTCGAAAACGGTTGCACGATGCTTGCTGTTTGTTGCTAGCTCATATATTTCGGGTGAAAACACCGCGATTACCTTGAACGTCCCGTCATATTTCGAAGCGAGCTTCGCATTTTTAACGACCGCAGCGTTTGAGAGCGTATGTATTTTGCGCCAAACCAAATCGCCTACCTGGAAGAGTGCCTGATGCCTACATTTGTCATAATATTTCTTCTGCCTTTTCTGAGCTTCATTAATGTGTTTAGCCATCAAGTTAGATAACGTATTCAAGCGCAATAGCCTATCTTCCCACATCTTTGTATCTAATTTAATAATCAATCCTTTTACCTCAATCTCGGGCCTTAAACTTTTTACCAAACGCGGATCCCTACCGAAGTTTAAAAAGGATGAGAATATCTTTGTAGACGCCTGAGCCGCAATATTTATAGCATAACGATATTCATGCAAAAATCTGTTCCAGCATGTGTGATCTGTATCTACAAACATCGCTATCATCGTTTTCAATGTCCGATTTACACGCTCAACCAGATCACTTTGCTAATGATACGCAGGGCAAAGCATGTGCTTATTAACATATTCTTGTAACCTATCATTAAATACCTTGCTCTTAAAAACGATTCCGACGGTCTCGAAAACTTGACAAACTGGCACACGCTCGGTAGATGAAGTCGGATAATTATTGGCGTAATGCCCTAGTTGCCGACACTTGTAGGAAACTCAAGCTGCAGGACATTGCGATCTCTTGTGTCCTACTGAATTGCAATTAAAACAGGCTCCCGTAAGCGACCTGCTTAAATTGCTCCTAAACATACCACCTTTTTGATCACGCTGCTGCGAAACCATCAGCCGTAGCTACGGCAACTTCTCCATCCTGCGTTTTTCCTTTCTTACCTATCTTCTTATTCTGCTGCTGTGTTTTCTTTTTAGGTGGCTCAATCGCTAAAACTCCATCTATCGCATTGCTAAGGCTCTCAATTATCCCTACCGATTCCTGTTTACTTTGAGATTTTTTTGTCTTAGTGTCTGACGACTCCGGTATTGGCGTTGCATCGGCCGTTGCCATCTTTTTCAACTTGCCATACGATCTTCTAATGCCATTTCTGCCTCTTTAAGCCCGTTTAAATCTTTAAACGTTTTCATCTCGAGGTATCGCTTGTATCTTGGGTGTAAGCCTTCCACAAGAATGGTTAATTGACGCTTAACCGAGACCGGTGGATCAAAATAGTGCTAAATCGTTTGACAAACCGCTATGTAATCGACGATTTTCTCGTCTTCACCTTGCGTTCTATACCTAAGTTCACTGTGAAGCTGTTTCCTACTCAATCGGTGACAAAATTCTCTAGAAAAACTCTTTTTAAAGTCTTTCAGCGTCTTCCAATGCCGTACTAGCGCTGGCAATTGCTTCAACTAGATAGAAAACTCAACACGTTCGTACCGCCTTTACCTGAAAAGCGGAGAGACTAAGCATTGAATGCACCTACTCCATCTGCAGGTATACCGTTAAAATACTTTACTCGCGGAGGGCTACTCTCTTTGCTCGATCTCTACCTTTTTTATCCAATCTCTTCTTAACGATCTCTCTTTCCGCGTATCGTAACTATCGGTATCTGACGGATACGTGCTCGTATCGCT